GTGTGGTATGTTTGCTATCTGGACGAGCTTATCATGGTCTGGCGGGGTATTATTATTATTATACAGGATTTATACAGTGCCAACGGTTTGCTCAGTGCTGTACAATATAATGGGAGACAGTACACGAGACAGTACAGTAACAATACCGTACAATACACGAGGGGTTCGAGGGCCCTGCTCCTTGGAGCTTACAATCTAGGAGGGAGGGGTACTGAGCATGCTCTGGGTTCCTTTATTGATTATTTGAGGCAGAACTATTTTAATTTGGAGTTTACCAGTACCCACCATGCCAAGTACATACCCTGTCTGAATGTAACTCTCACAGGTGAGGTGGATCCAGGAGAAGTTAAGAGCGGTACATACAGGAGAGAATGTGCTGGTGATTCCTTGCTGTTAGCCTCCTGCTGTCACCCATTGCACACAGTAAAATCGATCCCTATGGATGAATTTGTGAGAGCTAAAAGGAATTGCTCTAAACAAGATGATTTTAATTGTGAGTGTGGAGTAGTTTGTAAGAGATTGAGAGATTGTGATTATAAAGAACAGTGGATCTCTAAAAGTAGAAACATAGCCGCCAGGGGCGGACTGACCATTTGGAAAACTCGGGCACTGCCCGAGGGCCCGGGGTCAGTAGGGGGCCCCATGAGATGCCCCTGGTACCTTTTTTTTCATAGGCTTTTTTGAGTTTGGGCAAGGACACAGGGACCCCATGATCCCCTATTGCCCTGGGGCCCCATGAGTTGTCAGTCCACCCCTGATAACCGCACAAAAGGATCATTCTAGTCTCATTAAGCAAAAGTCTGCCTCAAAAAACAAACAACGGAATACAGAATACGTTTTCTAACATCATTGTTAATTGAATTCCATCAAATCATCTGTGTTATCGAAAAACATTTACTGATTCATTATGCAGATAAGGAACTGCACACCGTTCTTAACAATGGATGCAACTTCTCTAGCAGACGGGCATCTACATTGGGGAGTATTTTATCTCCAGTTTATTCTATTCAGACACCTCTTCTTGGTTGTCCACTACGGGGTCTTCCTGCTATGGCTATAATGCCTGCAGGTACTGTACAAAGCACAAAAAGAGCCCCCAGGTTGCGTCTGGCACTACCAGTAAATCCTTGTTAATTGCAATACCAAGTCAATGGTGTATGTCAGGGTTGTCCAAACTTTTTTCAAAGAGGGCCAGATTGGATGAAGTGAACATGGTGGAGGGCCGAACATTTTTCCGAACATTCTTTGAACCATTACAATTAAATGCAAATAAATTATTTTATGCCAAGTTAATTGCAAACAACATACTTTTCATTTCATAACATTAAGATCAACTGACAGCTGAGTTTTCACAATGTATTGAAAATATATTTTAAAAAAACTTACCTGCACTAATGTGAAGGGTGAAAAAAAAGGTAGCTGGAGCTGAAGTCTCTGCTCGGCAGCCGGGAGGGGAAGAGAAACACACTTCACGCTGGAAGCCCGGCCCTGACGTCACCGCCCTCTGTCGCTCCCAGTGTGGCGCAGTCACGCATGCGCACTGCTCTCAAGCAGAAGACGGTCTGCCACAGAAGGGAGGGCCGTGCGACAGCCGCATTTACACAGACCAGGGAGAACGCGCCGCAGTCAGGCATGCGCACTGCCCTCTGCTCTCAAGCAGAAGACTGCCTGCCATAGAAGGGAGGGCCGTGGGAGGGCCACATTACACAGAGCAGGGAGGGCTGTTGGAGGGCCGTAATAAACCGACCCCCGGGCCGTAAATGACCTGCGGGCCGGACTTTGGACATGCCTGGTGTATGTTATTGAGTGCAATACTTGTAGGATCCAGTATGTGGGTTGCAACGCACGCCCCCTTAGAATTAGAATCTAGGACACTAATAACAAAACATGCCAAGAAAATGTACAATGTCTGTAAACACTTTAGAGACATTCATGGTGGTATTCTTGACTGTTTTTTTTGGCATTGTACCGGTTAAAAAATCTCCAAGAGGCGGAAATCTACATCGCATGCTGCTGCAGAGGGGAGTGTGGTGGATTCACAGGAGTACAGGAGCAGCGCTGGGTTTACATAATAGATGATATTTATTTTTGAAGTAAAGCATTATATTGAGCCTATATATTCTATTGTTTTCCCAGTTGTTACAGCTTTACATGTCTCATTCCCTCCATGTGCAATCACTTGTATACGAATTGTTTGTGGTCCCGTCTCTACGATTGTTTGTGAAGCTGGGCTTAAAGAGTATATAAGTATTATGTTTTTTAGAATATAATCCAGCATCCCTGCAGCATCAGTAACACCCAGCTCCTCCCATGCGTTATGTCACATGGTCAGTCACATGACTTCATCAGGGTCATAATCTATTAGAGGAGATGATAAGACAAACAATTTTGAAAACATATATATTTTTGACTTTTTGTTATAAAACATATCCAGTAAAAAAATTGCTTTCTTCATAAATGTAGGCCAGATCTCACTTATGCAGCCACAATCCAGCATCCCTGCAGCATCAGTAACACCCAGCTCCTCCCACTTGTTATGTCATATGACTTCATCAGAGGCATTATCTATTAGAGGAGATGATAAGACCGACAATTTTGAAAAAACTTACATTTCTTCATAATTTTAGGCCAAAATGTATTCTCCTATGTGTCGTTAAAAAAAATCCTAATAATTGTATATTAATTGGTTTATGTGACTAACTGCCACTGATATCTCCAATGACATTGATACAGTGATCAGTGCTAATAAAAAGCACTGACACAGGGCAGGAAGGGGTTAATCACTTGCTGACCGCACCCTAGCAGGTGTTCTGCTTCATGGCGGCCATGCTGTGCACAATAACGTATATATACATGACTATGCGTTTCCGGGTAGGGGGGGTGTGTGTGTGCTGTCATTGGCTCTTGAAGATGTCAATTACCAGGTCCCAGCCAGCGATTCATGGCCAGGACTTGGTGATCAGCAAAGCAGCTGACAAGGGAGAGACCTGTGTGTTAACAATGCAGATCTCTCTCCTGGCAGTGAGGACATGCTGCTTTGTATCTCTCTGCACAGCATGTCCCCTAAAAAACACCGCACAGTAAGCACAAAGCAGACAACAATTAACCCTTTGATTGCCCCAGATGTAAATATAACAGTAAGTGTCTGTTGATTCAGCTTTAAAAAATAAAGTATTTGCTATGAAAATTGTTTCTGCATGACAAGGCAAATCCATGTCTCCATACTTTGAATGTATTCAAAATTGTGTCTGTGCAGATGGCTGGATACATCAGAGGACTTCCTAGGTATCCACTCATACTGGCAGATCACTTCGCTGTCCTTTCATAGACACTGAGAAAGGCTGACGGACATTATCTGTTCAGGAATACACAACAGAAGGTGGACTAGGAACTGATCTCCATCTTGGACTCTTCTAAGTATCTACTACACAAGTCCAACTCTTGTACTGGCCATGGATCTGCATGTAGGATCAGCCATTTGTCTTTTCATTCTTGTCCTTGAAACTTTATTTGGGATCGGCTCCAGTTTATTCATCATCATCATCACTTTAGGAGACATTTGTAAAGGGGAAACTCTAAAAACATTGGACAAAATATTGTGTGCTCTGAGCTTTTCCAATATTTGCTTAGCAGCTGTGTCCCCTTATTATTATTTCTTTTTAATTTTCTATTTTACTCTGGATATCTATGTAAGAATTATTATAGAGTCCTTGGACTTGTATGGAATAACCTCTTGTTCATGGATGTTGTCTTGCCTGTGCTTCTTCTATTTTATTAAAATTATACAGTTCCAATCCCGTATTTTCTCCTTGCTGAAGAGGAAGATTGATGTCCTAATCCCAAGGATGATACTGATAATTCAAGCATTCTCCATCAGTGGAAGCTTTTTTTTTTGTGTATCCATGGATATTTCCTACAACAGATTAAATATCAGCTTGGAGTTTGGTTCACCCAACATGACAGGATTCTCACACCAAATTGAATATAGTGAGATTTTTTATCATAATGAGTTTGTGTCTTTTGGGTTTGTGATATTGATCACCGCATTCACTGCACTATCCCTTCTGTTTCATTTTCGGAAAATGAGCAGAACCATGGGCCCCTCCAACAGTGCTAAGACTAAAGGGGTTCAAAGGGTTATAAAAACACTGCTGTGTCTCCTGATTTTGTATCTCTTGTATTTTTCATTGTTGCTTATAGAACGTTTTTTCAAACATGTTTATACGGCTATCTTTGGTATTTTCTGGACCTAGTTGCAATATTTGCCTTTATCCCCGTGCTAAATATTCTGTTGATTCAGAGTAACCCAAAATATAATTACATCTTTAATAAAATGAATGCGTGCCGTAGGGTCGGTGAGCAGCAAAGGTAAATTACCTTCAGAGGTGATGGTTTACTGTTTTTCTATCCTTATTCTATTGGTCTATTTTATAATAATAGGAAATGATGAGCTAATGACATCAAAGCAGCCTTATCGGGGGTAAAAGTGATACCAATAAGTCATCTGATAATAGGATCTGAATTACTGTACTTTGTTCATTCTCCCAATCCATGGCTGTGATGATATCTACCAGCAGAATTGCTTCCGCTTACCATGGACCTTCCACTAATGTCTACAATGTTTGTAAGGTATTGATCCTTTCCTTTTTTGCTCCAAATAAATATCTTTGTGAAAAAAAAAGTGATACCAACCTATCCCTAACAAAGGACACCGAACATTATGTGCACGACACCTTGTAGTGGAAGCAATTAAGGATTTAGTATATTAATTAAAAAAAGAACTTTGCTAACAACAGGGAGAGATTTGTAATGTATCCTGGATTCTTGAGTCTAGGTTCACACTACTGCGACCTGAAAGTTGCGTGACTTACAGTGTGACTTTGCCAGGCGACTTGAGTGTCTTGCACTACTAGTAAATCCTTTCCAATCAAGATATAGATTAATTGCAATACCAAGTCAATGGTGTATGTTATTGAGTGTAATACTTGTAGGATCCAGTATGTGGGTTGCACCGCACACCCCCTGTCAGGAATGGACTCAGCACTGGTGGTGGGACTCACCTGCTGTGTGGGCTGCAGTACCAGGGCTGACCAGCGGGTGCTCTCAGCAGCCAGAAGCTCACTTCTGCAATCAGCCAAACCTGGGGCTGATTGCAGAAGGTGTATTTAAGGGATGGCCAGACCTGCAGTCTGGGCCTTGGTGTATGTTTTTTTCCCATGAGCCCTTGTACCTGGTATCTTGTGTTCCTGCCTCGTTGCTGACCCTGCTTGATCCTGACCTCTGCTGATCGTCTCCTGTTGAACCCGGCTTGTGACCCTGACCATTCTCTGCCTGATCCTTTGTACCGCGCTGCCCATGAGTTACTGAACCCAGCTTGTGACCCTGACCATTCTCTGCCTACTCCTTTGGTACCTTGCTGCCCGCACATTGCTGACCTGGCCCGTCTGACCACGCTAACTACTCTGCCATCCATCCATCCTGCACGGATCCAGCCATCCCTTCTCACACCTTCTGCCTCTTCACATCAGGCTTTCTACCTGCACATACCTCTGGCGGATCCCTCTACCACTAGCAGGTGTACTCAGGGGCCGCGACCTGGTTCCTGTCTGCTCCAAGTCCATCCCCACCATCAGGGGCCCTGGTGAATAAGCAGACTGGGACTTAGACTCCGCGCCCTGGGGAATCCTGTCCTGGGAACTGCTAGAGGTACCACCGAACGGTCATTACAGAACCCTAAGGCCGGCCTGACCATTCCACCTCTCCAGCCCTGACTATGCCTGTGTTCCTGCACCTACTAAGATTAGTGGAAGGTTGGTTTGCTCACTGTGCGTTTATATATATATATATGGGTGGCTAATAAACTGTATTATACTGTACCCGAGGCCTGCGTTTCCCTGTGTCAGTCCACACCTTTCTGGTCACTCCTAGATTCCTGACACCCCCTTAGAATTAGAATCTCAGACCACTATAATGACACTAATAACCAAAATGCCAAGAAAATGTACAATGTTTCTAAACACTTTAGAGACATTCATGGTGGTATTGACTGTTTTTTTTTTGGCATTGTACCGGTTTAAAAAATCTCCAAGAAATGGAATTCTACATCGCATGCTGCTGCAGAGGGAAGTGTGGTGGATCCACATTCCCAGTACAGGAGCAGCGCTGGGTTTACATAATAGATGACATTTACTTTTGAAGTAAAGCATTATATTGAGTCTATATATTCTATTGTTTTCTCAGTTGTTACAGCTTTACATTTCTCTGCTTGTTCTGTTCTCAAAACACTGACTATGTGTGGCTCTAAACGGACAGCTAAACCCTTGTCAGAATCTCCAGCAAACAGAAGCCCACTGCTTGTGTTGTCTACCAAAGAATCCAACTTTATTTTATAGGTGAAACTGAAACACAATACAATGACAGCATATCAGTATACATAGAATAACTAGTCCTAATTAAAAGGTATGCGCTAATAACAAACTTATACAAAGGTGTATATCATCATCCAGAAAACATTAGTGTTTTAAATAAATAATTATAGTGTCCAAACATAAATTAGTGTCCAAAAAATATATATATATATATATATCTTCAGTGACTTGAACCAATTGTGAAAAATCCACCACCAAAGGAGATTAAATGAACTCACCAGAGCTAATGGCTGGTCAGATTATAAACCAGCAACAGCAGTTGTGCTCTGGGAGCAATGACCCCGATGTCCAAATAGATATGGTGATGTTTCAGATACTTCCAGATAATAATAATTAGAGATGAGCGAATTATTCAAAAATTCGGTTTGGCTGATTTGCCGAATTCGCCGAAAAAATTTGCTTCGAGCCGAATATATTCGCTGCAAATTTAACCCTTTAAAATGGTGTTTCTAGGCTTCAGAGAGCCTTTATATTAGTGCAGAACACTGTACCTTTAATTTAAATGCCCTTGGAGTCTGCTGGGGAAGAGAAATAATACTGTCAGTCAGTATGACATGCAGATGAGTGCCGTCCATCTTAGAATCACCGCACACTTCACTCATTTGGGCAGTCACGGGCCAAAACCAGAGTGTGGAGCCACAGTGTGGCGGTGGAGGCAGCAGCAATGGGAGGCCATACAGCAACCTATGACAAAATGGAACCCACCAGCAGTGTGAGGAGACCTGAAAGTGGCACATGGCAGAGTGTGGCGATGGAGACAGCAGCAATGGGAGGCCGTACAGGGACCCATGACACATCTCTGGACCTGGCAGCAGCATGAGGAGGCGGTACAGGGGCCCATGACAGATTACGGGCCTGGCAGCAGCATGAGGAGTCGGTACAGGGGCCCATGACAGATTACGGGCCTGGCAGCAGCATGAGGAGGCGGTACAGGGGCCCATGACAGATTACGGGCCTGGCAGCAGCATGAGGAGTCTCTTTGACTCTTTAACTCTTTGAACGTACAATAGTGGTTGTGAAGCAGAAAGTCAGTTTATTTAGCACAATCGGTCAATTGCAGCTTGCCGTTGGCTGGAAACTGTACGTTTGTGTCACTGGAATGCACTAATCACCCAAAAAATATTACCGCCAGCCGGCGTGTAAATGGATCTAACTCTTTGAACGTACAATAGTGGTTGTGAAGCAGAAAGTCAGTTTTATTTTGCACAATCGGCAAACTGCAGCACCAACTGTGCACGACAGCCACCAAAAAAAAAAAGGGTGTATGTCACTTTAAATTTTCGATTCTTTGATAGCTGTGGCCCTAAGTAACGATTCTGTGTCCCTGAGTAACGATTCTGTGATCCCTGAGTAACGATTCTGTGTCCCTGAGTAACGATTCTGTGGCCCTAAAGTCTCTGTGGCCCTAACTCTGTCCCTTAATACACACAGGTCTGTCTCTCTTGAATGACCGGAGGCTAATGGAGAATTCTAAGATGGCCACGATTTATAGCTCGACCATTACACAGTGCTGGCTGGCTGCTGATTGGCTAATGCGATCACATGTCATGAATGCATTATGGGTCAGCGCGCCTTGTCTGCGCGCCTTCCCAGAGATCCCCGCCCCATCTTCTCTGTCCATTTTCTCCGTCGCCACACATGTCGCCGCCATTTTTGGGAAAATTTGATTCGTGCATCCGAAGTTTGCTAATCTTCGGATTCGTCGCGAATCGAATTTTTCCAAATCTTCGGAACGAATTCCACTTCGTCATGTTCGATTCGCTCATCTCTAATAATAATCACAGACAAACAACTTTGCAGCCCAAACTCTTACGATGAACTTCTCCACTCTTTCTCATACCTCCATGAGAGGATGCAGTACACTCAGGGACAAAAAAGAGAACATAATGGTGCAATACGTTTACGGTACCGCCCCTTGATGACGTCGGTGTGACGAAACCGGTTTGGCGTAGCCTACTTGATGTGGACGTTAGAGAGCCTTGCTGTTCTGTGCTGTATGGGAGAGATCCGCGGTGAGCGGTAACTGTATCTCACACCTTTTTTGCGAGTGAAGCTGGTATCTGTTGGACACCTTGTTTGTGAGTTTCCTTATACCTTTTTTATTAACCATTAGCCGCCTGGCCAATGGCCGTTTGGCGGCTTCAGATGTGTCCTCTCCACTCCGGGTGCACGCCATTTGGCGTGCTCCCGCAGATGCGCCGTTTGCGCTAATGCAGAGCAGCGCAGCAGTGCGATCTGTCACCAGCCGTGCACCTCGGACACGGCCGATGACAGATCCGAGTACCGGCTCCGGTTGCTGGTACCATGTGACCTGCTGTGACCAATCACAGCAGGTCACATGACAGTTGTATACAATGGATGGCTTCATTCATGATGCCATCCATTGTATACTAGTGCCTAGCTGTGAATGGTCACAGCTAATCACATGCACATGTCATGTGATTAGCTGTGACCAAATCACAGCTAAGCACAAAAAAAAAAAAAAGCTGAATGAATCGATTTCATTCAGTTAAATGCTTGCTTATAGCAAAGTAATTCTTTGCTATAAGCAAATTGTGTAAAAAAAAAAAAAAATACTGATCACTTCCCCAAAGTAGTACAATGTTACTATGGTACTACTTTGGTCATAGTAATATATGAAAAAAAAATCTTAAAAAAAATAAAAAAAAATGTAATAAAAAATTAAATATAATAAAAAAAAAAAAAATATATATATATTTTTTTTTTTTCATACTGTCACCAGTCAGTGTCCCTGATCACCGCCATGCCAGTTATATGATGACACTGTACTGCACTGGTGACAGTATGTAAAAAAAAAAAATAGTGAAAATAATTTTTTTAATTTTTTCATTTTCCGAAAAATTATGACAAAAAAATACAACTTCAAAAAACTCGCCATTCCTCTTATGAAGTACATCGGACTGTCTACTCTGCAAAAAGGGATCATTTGGGGGATATCTGTACTGTCCTGACATTTGGGGGATATCTGTACTGTCCTGACATTTGGGGATATCTGTACTATTCTGACATTTGGGGATATCTGTACCGTCCTGACATTTGGGGGATATCTGTACTGTCCTGACATTTGGGGATATCTGTACTGTCCTGACATTTGGGGGGATATCTGTACTGTTCTGACATCTGGGGATATCTGTACTGTCCTGACATTTGGGGGATATCTGTACCGTCCTGACATTTGGGGGATATCTGTACTGTCCTGACATTTGGGGGATATCTGTACCGTCCTGACATTTGGGGATATCTGTACTGTCCTGACATTTGGGGGATATCTGTACTGTTCTGACATCTGGGGATATCTGTACTGTCCTGACATTTGGGGGATATCTGTACTATTCTGACATTTGGGGGATATCTGTACCGTCCTGACATTTGGGGATATCTGTACCGTCCTGACATTTGGGGGATATCTGTACTGTCCTGACATTTGGGGGATATCTGTACCGTCCTGACATTTGGGGATATCTGTACCGTCCTGACATTTGGGGGGTATCTGTACTGCCCTGACATTTTGGGGGGTATTTGTACCGTCCTGACATTTGGGGAATATCTGTACTGTCCTGACATTTGGGGGATATCTGTCCTGTCCTGACATTTGGGGAATATCTGTACTATTCTGACATTTGGGGGATATCTGTCCTGTCCTGACATTTGGGGATATCTGTACTATTCTGACATTTGGGGGATATCTGTCCTGTCCTGACATTTGGGGATATCTGTACTATTCTGACATTTGGGGGATATCTGTCCTGTCCTGACATTTGGGGGATATCTGTACTATTCTGACATTTGGGGATATCTGTACCGTCCTGACATTTGGGGATATCTGTACTATTCTGACATTTGGGGGATATCTGTACCGTCCTGACATTTGGGGGATATCTGTACCGTCCTGACATTTGGGGGATATCTGTACTGTCCTGACATTTGGGGGATATCTGTACCGTCCTGACATTTGGGGGATATCTGTACTGTCCTGACATTTGGGGGATATCTGTACTGTCCTGACATTTGGGGATATCTGTACCGTCCTGACATTTGGGGATATCTGTCCTGTCCTGACATTTGGGGAATATCTGTACTATTCTGACATTTGGGGGATATCTGTCCTGTCCTGACATTTTGGGGAATATCTGTACTATTCTGACATTTGGGGGATATCTGTCCTGTCCTGACATTTGGGGGATATCTGTACTATTCTGACATTCTTGGACCTCAAGAAATTAGATTGGCTGTCAGTACTTCAGGATTGATCAATATTCAGATCTATACTTCCATAGTTTGTGAACTCTATAACTTTCCTACAAACTAAATAATACATCCTAATTTGAGTTATTTTCACCAAAGACATGTAGCAGAATACATCTCGGCCTAAATGTATGAAGAACAATTATTTATTTGTAAACTTTTTTATAACAGAAACAAAGAAAAATGTGTTTTTTTTTCAAAATTTTTGGTCTTTTTTTGTTAATTTAGCAAAAAATAAAAACCCCAGCGGTGATTAAATACCACCAAAAGAAAGCTCTAGTTGTGTGAAGAAAATGATAAAATTTTAGTTTGGGTACAATGTTGTATGATACCGCGCAATTGTCGTTCAAAGTGTGTGAGAGCGCTGAAACCTGAAAAATGGCCTGGGGGGAGGGGGTAAAAGTGCCCGGTATGGAAATGGTTAAAGAGATAAATGAAAAAAACGTATTGCACCATTATGTTCTCTTTTTTGTCCCTGAGTGTACTGCATGCTCTCATGGAGGTATGAGAAAGAGTGGAGAAGTTCATCATAAGAGCTCGGGGGCTGCAAAGTTGTTTGTCTGTGATTATTATTATCTAGAAGTGTCTGAAACATCACCATATCTATTTGGACATCGGGGTCATCGCTCCCAGAGCACAAGCGCTGTTGCTGGTTTATAATCTGACCAGCCATTAGCTCTGGTGAGTTCATTTAATCTCCTTTTGGTGGTGGATTTTTTTCACAATTGGTTCAAGTCACTGAAGATATATATATATTTTTTGGACACTAATTTATGTTTGGACACTATAATTATTTATTTAAAACACTAATGTTTTTTGGATGATGATATACACCTTTGTATAAGTTTGTTATTAGCGCATACCTTATAATTAGGATTTTTGTTGCCAAAATTTATTTTTGGGTGGGATATGCTGCTGACATTTTGGTGTTTTTTGTAATTTGGTATAGAATAACTAGTGTAGCATAAATGACAGATGACACAGCAGAAAGGCACTTACAGGTGATGATGTCTCAAGCCCCTTGGGAGAGAAGCAGGCACGCTGCATGCACAGTGAATGGCAATCTAAAATGGCTGAAGAACTTCCTAAACCAAATGTCATTTCCTGTCTGAGAAATTTACATATCCAGAGGAGAACTGCTATTCATGTTTGCCACTAGATGGCCGTGATACACTACATATCCCATATAAGTAACTATAATTCCATTAGCCTGTGAAGGCAACACACTGCTAATTCCCTCCATGTGCAATCACTTGTATACGAATTGTTTGTGGTCCCGTCTCCACGATTAGTTGGGGAGCTGGGCTTAAAGAGTATATAAGTATTATCTTTTTTAGAATATAACATGCTATGAGGAAAACTGTATAGCTGAAATGCATTAGAATTTATTTTACTGTATGCGTGTCATGTAGCCAATAAAGAGTAACCAGAAGAGCATACCGGGCTGCCAACAGATTTTTTGCCAGTTATATCGTATATCTTGGGATCCCTCAGTATGGATCTTCTCCCTTGTAGGAATATCACCTGATGTGTGAGACTTTCAGTGACCCCCAGGTCTCCACCTTGTACACCATTAATATACTCAAGCAGACAAGGGATGGATTCTTATAGTGTAGAACAATAGATAATGACCATTTTATTAAAAGTAAAACAATTACAGGAAAAATGATGTACAAGCGCCTTTAAGATCTCTCTTATGCAGCCACAATCCAGCATCCCTGCAGCATCAGTAACACCCAGCTCCTCCCACGCATTATGTCACATGACCATGTCACATGACTTCATCAGGGACATCATCTATTAGAGCAGATGATAAGACCGACAATTTTGAAAACAAAAATTAAATTTCTTCATAATTTTAGGCCAAAATGTATTCTGCTATGTGTCTTTAAAAAACAAAATTCTAATAAGTGTATATTAATTGGTTTATGTGACTAACTGCCACTGACATCTACAATGACATTGATACAGTGATCAGTGCTAATAAAAAAGCACTGACACTGGGCAGGAAGGGGTTAATCACTTGCTGACCGCACCCTAGCAGGTGTTCTGCTTCATGGCAGGCATGCTGTGCACAATAACTTGTATATATACATGGCTATGCATTTGTCAGGAATGGACTCAGCACTGGTGGTGGGACTCACCTGCCGTGTGGGCTGCAGTACCAGGGCTGACCAGCGGGTGCTCTCTCAGCAGCCAGAAGCTCACTCCTGCAGTCATCCAACACCTGGGCTGATTGCAGGAGGTGTATTTAAGGAATGACCAGGGCCTGTGATCAGTGCCTTGGTGTATGTTTCCCATGAGCCCCTGTACCTGGTATCCTGTGTTCCTGCCTAGTTGCTGACCCCTGCTTTGATCCTGACCTCTGCTGACCATCTCCTGTTGAACCCCTGGCTTGCCTGACCATCCTTCTGCCTGATCCTTTGTACAGCGCGCGCTGCCCATGAGTTACTGAACCCGGCTTGTGACCCTGACCATTCTCTGCCTGATCCTCCGATACCTCACTGCCCGCACATTGCTGACCTGGCCTGCCTGACTATGCCTGATGCTACCCAGACGATCCATCCATCCCGCACGGATCCAGTCACTACTG